GACAACGAGGCCCTCTACGACATCTGCTTCAGGACTCTGAAGCTGACCACACCCACCTACGGTGACCTCAACCATCTGGTGTCCGCCACCATGTCCGGAGTAACAACATGTCTTCGATTCCCTGGACAGTTGAATGCTGATCTCCGTAAATTGGCTGTCAACATGGTGCCCTTCCCTCGTCTCCACTTCTTCATGCCCGGATTCGCTCCACTCACATCCAGAGGAAGCCAGCAGTACCGTGCCCTGACTGTGCCCGAACTCACTCAGCAGATGTTCGATGCCAAGAACATGATGGCTGCCTGCGATCCCCGTCACGGACGATATTTGACCGTGGCTACCATGTTCCGAGGTCGCATGTCCATGAAGGAGGTTGACGAACAGATGCTCAACGTCCAAAACAAAAACAGCAGCTACTTTGTCGAATGGATCCCCAACAACGTTAAAACCGCCGTCTGTGACATCCCGCCACGTGGTCTCAAGATGTCGGCCACTTTCATTGGTAACAGCACAGCCATCCAGGAGATCTTCAAACGTATCTCCGAGCAATTCACAGCCATGTTCCGTCGCAAGGCTTTCCTTCACTGGTACACTGGCGAGGGTATGGATGAGATGGAGTTCACTGAGGCCGAATCCAATATGAACGATTTGGTATCAGAATACCAACAGTACCAGGACGCCACAGCCGAGGAAGAGGGAGAGTTTGACGAGGAAGAAGGAGAAGCAGAAGAAGCGTAGACTTGCTACTGCCCTGTACAGTCAGAAATAAATCTGAATCTAATTGGCAATTTTGTTTCTATTTATATTCAACAATTCATACGAGTATCGAAACGTGAGATAGTGATTTGGGTTTAACGACGCTTTTAACAGTCTTCGAGTTATATTAACACAACGTGTCACCTTAATGGAAAACCCAAAGTGATGCAGGGCTCAGACGTTTAATAATTTTGCGAAACCCACAAGCACGGGTAGGGACCTGACAAATGTAAAAACATAACTTGGGCGGCGTTTGTCAAAGAAAACATGTTAATCGAAAATATTGAAGATACAATTATCTGCCATGTGCCACTTTAGAAACAAGAATTATTTTGAACGCGACGCCAAACGAAATTTCACGTCACCTCACCTTAGCAACAAGAAACGACATCACAATATATAATTATATACATACACTTACTATCTTTTTTTTTTAAATATTGAACTCTAAACGAACAGTTACATTGTCTAAAAGGTTGTTATCCATAAAAAGTCTGAGGCCGAGCCCAACATGAACGACTTGGTGTCCGAGTCCCAGCAGTACCAGGACGCCACCGCCGAGGAAGATGGAGAGTTTTATGAGGAAGAAGGAGAAGCTGAAGAAGCTTAGCATGACATACTGTACCTTCTGGAATAAAATATGACTTCATTTACATCTATATTTTTATATATTTCTTTTATATCTTACCCCATCTACTATCTAGTTGTCCCTCTCTCTAGTTTGAAAACAAAATTGGTTCAACAGAATTATGCACTTAAAATATAACAAGAATCTTCGGCACATGGATTACACCACATTTTTAAAGTCTTCCTATTATTAAAACAGTGAGCGACAGGAAAGGCCGAATTGAACAGGTTTCTTGTTGAACCATGGCGAGTCATCTTATTGTGGATGGAAAGTCGGACGTGATGCAGGTCACAGGCGTTTCACCACTAACACATGTACACCTTTCCACAAAACTATCTTAGCGCTAAGACGTGATTCCTTTGTCAGCACCATACCTGTGCTAGTGGGTTTCACCAAGGTGGCAAACGTCTGAGACATGCATCATAACTTGAAGTTTTCCTCCCAAGTAAAGCTTTTATGCCGTGATATATCTGGACTACTGTTCCTTGAGGCGGTACCCCTCACACACTCATTCACTGCTTCAGTGGGAGGGTCAAGGTAATCCCTCTATTGATCTACCCCTGAGTGACTTTATCACGCAAACTAGAATGAATTTGGAAATTATTCGTTCTGACTGGCAGTCAAACGTCTTGATAGTTACGTGCGGAGCAGAATGAAACCTTACGAGGCTTAGTTGATTTTCTTAAGGGGTTTCAAGAATGCTTCAAATTGTATAGCGACATGTATTTACGTGTGTAAATGACCGCTTGCATGAGTCCGGACTTATGTCGGTTTTATTGTGTTAGCCCACTGAGATACCATGCCACATGGATATCCCACTCAGACACATAACACATCGTCTCCGATCCGGCCAGTCCTTGTTTTATCCCCTTTGTACCGAGATTCAGGCAGCGCAACAACGATCTTGTAACGTCTTGTGATATGACGAGGTCATGGGATCGAACCACCGACCTTCCGCTCTTCGGACAGACGCTCTATCCACTACACCACGGAAGCCGTGTGATATTTAAGAACATATGATAGGACTGACTGAGTGTATTATGTTTAAGGCCTCTTGGATGGTATTTCTGATATGGCTGCTGTAACGTAGAATTTGGTTCCCGTAGAAATGAGTACATAGGTCCAATAATTCTTCGTGTCCCCTCATGGTGCTTGGTGCCGTGTTTTACGGGTGTTGATCTCGTATTGTACATAGACTAGGTACATCGTTCTACGATGGACTGTTTTCCCTTACACCGACTGTCAGCTTTCGGAGATATACATGTATGTTCTGTCAAGTGTCAAGGAGAAAGAAACGATAACGTTTTAGGAAATGCGAATATCACCATCAACGATTGACACCGGGTTTTCTTTCCTTATTCAAGCGGATGAAACGGATTCTATGTATAATATGATACCAAGGCCCGTTTTTATTTGGTATGAGTCTTTATTTTATTTGTATGGTATTCCATATTCAAAAAATAATTGATCTTTTCAAATGTTCCTTCCCCTAGCCATTGCTCACTATTATATAAATATATTAAACTGTAAACACGTTGAAAAAACTTACATTAATAATTTACCCCGGTACCACTCCTGAGTGTGAACTGTTCATTTCGAAATCACAACCTGTACAATATGTGATACTGAGAAAAAAGTGCGAGTTTTTCTTCGCCTCCATCTTCTTTTCCTACACTTCTTTCATCTTTCTTTAATATTCCTACTTCCCCATCGTTGTCCTACGCCTCGTTTCGCTCTTCCGGTCTTCATCTTCTTCGGCTTCTTACTTCCTCTCCTGCATCTTATACTTCTACAGCCTTTTTCTTTATACATGCTATCCCTCCCATCCTGCTTTTCAACTTGTCTCATCCTGCTCTTATTTCCCATATTTTCGCTCATTTTATCTTCTCATCTTCCTTCGTCGTCTTCTCATATTCCTTCGGATCCTTTATTGTCTTCTCCTCATCCTTGTTTCTTGTGGCCTTCCCTCGTCTTAATGTTCTACTTCCCGTCTTGCTCGTCCGTTTTGATCTTAATAAGTCCTCCTAAGAAGTCTCTCCTCTTTCTACTCCTACTTCCTCAGTATCCTCTCACTTCTTTACTTCTTTCTACTCGGTTTTTTTTTTCGTCTTTCTTTCCTCTGTTCCCACCACTTCCCCTTCCGCTATTCCTCCTCTCACTGTTCTTTCCTCTCTTGTCCTCCTCATCTCAGTCCTTTCTCCATTGTCTACATCTTCTCATGCGTGTGATTCTTCTTCGTCTGATATAGAAGCACCTCTCTCATAGCTCTATGCCTGCCTTTTTAAAGATTATGTTTGTTTCACATTATTTGTATCCCATTTCAAATTTCAGTAGTTCTGCCATACAATATTTGATTATTCACACACGTTACGGTGAAATGTCTGACTTTCTTCATGTCCTATTTGGGAGATAAACTAAGGGGCAAAGTATACCAATATTGTTTTAATGTAATTTGAAAGAACTGTTGTAAAATTTTATTGTATCTATTTAACATCACTCAATCCAGCAACAGTTTGTAGAATGTAATCTGTGGCTGGGTAATGTTGTGTAGAAAAAATATGGTTCAATGAAGGCTTGGATAAAAAATGAATATGCAACCACATGGCCTCTACCATGTTTGAATGCAAGTCTATGTGTTTGCAAAGATACGATGACTAATAGTATGATACCCATCAGCAGTTGTGCATTATGCGAATCATTTTGTTTGTTAAAGTATTAAATGTTAAATTTAATTATAGTTTAGACAAAAAACGTGTAGAAGTATTTTTTGAGTGCTGACTTAGCGACAGTACAGTTCATGTTTTGCATTTAACATAGCTAACTAAAGATATTTTCAATTGAATATCAACTATATGATAAAATCACCTGAGAGGTATAGTTTCTTTTGCCCCTCAACTAAAAGTGAACAACAACAAAACAACTGACTCACTACCTCGAAATAATGTTTTGTAATTAAAATAATTATGATAGAGTCGTTTGTTGAAGCGCACATATAATATAACGAGTTAACCATGAACTTTTGATCGTCTCATAATCGATACTGACTGTAATATTTGTCGGCAAAACCCACAGACATTGCTGCTTTTCGGCCGACTTCTAATTAAAAAGCCGAATTATTTATTTTGCAATTATTTCACAAATTACATATCCGTAAACGATATGTCCTCAAACTTAAGCTATTCTATCATTTAGTGTGTTTTTAACATTGGCTCAGCTTCAGAAAATGTAAAGAAAACAAAAAGAGTACTGGCTTTTGGTTGAGAATACAACTGAGCATGACAAAGAGACTATTGTTTAAGACGTGCTCAAAATGTTCTCAAAGATTCACAAAGTGCTCTGTTTGAAGTGAAGCTGTGGCTGTATCGGTTCCATGGCAGCGCCTGATAAATAATGTGTGAGTTTTGCATGCCGATATAAATCATGACTAAAGGAATTCTCATAGCATGCACACATTGATGTGATTATTATAAATTCTGCTTCTCGTTTATTCAATTTAACAGATAGCGGAATTAATCCACTCCATAATGATGATACGCCAGACTTTTAGGCCCATCTCAGAAAGTCCATGTAATATATATATACATTAATTATTTGAACTTTTGGAACATATCCAGTAATAAATGTTTAAATTGAATTTATTTTCAAGACACTATGACTAGTACATGTTCTTTCATCCAATTTGCTGAACATCCCTTACAAATTCAATGTAATATCATGATGGGCCTAGTAGTGAGTGAGTATGGTTTTCGGCCGCTTTCAGTAATATTACAGCAATATCACGGCGGGGGCAATGGGTTTCACACATTGTACAAATGAAGGGAGTCGAACCCGGGCCTTCGGCGTGACGAGCGAACGCTTTAACCACGAGGCTACCCCGACGCCCCTAAATGGACCTAGCAGACTTTCGTATATAAATATTATGCAGATACAGTTTACAACGGTGGAAACAAACACACATGGAGTTGTCTACAAAAGTAAGACTGTGCAGAATGCAAGGACAACCGTTGACACAAGAGCGTCAACAGATGCTGTTCCACCAGTGTGAGTTGGGAAGCCACCGTTGTCGTCGTCCTTCTTGCATGAGCAAGATCCAAAGGCAGCTACAAATTTGGTTGTTTTGAGATCTGGGTTTCGGGACCTCAAGGTCAACAGATAGTCTTGTATTACACCCTTGACAAGGCAAGGATGCTTCTCGGCCTCAGCAATAGCTGCAGGACATTCCTGGCGACATCCACCGAAGGGATTACAGTTGTCCAACACCTGAAAAATAAAACGTCTCTAATGCAACAAGTCAATGTCTTTAATTATTACGCCAAAGGGGAATAACTTCCGTAGTAAAGTTTCTGAGGAGAAATCATTTCATGTTCAGTTGGTATTGTGGGGTAATTATTGTTGGAGTTTTTTCAATATTAGTTTAATGTCCAACACAATCAACATGTGTTCAGTTTTGTTTTTTTCTAAATGTAACCAACTGCATTTTCTAGACACGTAAAGATAATGTGCAAAAAGGGCACATTATTACTTTTCCTACAATAAGAGATACATGCAAGTTTATTCAGTAATTCACATGTTGGATCTTGAGTATATTTTTAGAACACACTCCCGTCTCCCCATTCCCTCCTGGAATTCAATGGATGCTCCCCAAGTTTGCAGCGGACCTTTTGATTCAACTTAAAATTAAGTAGTAATTACTTTCAGATTATTTGGGGTCTTTGACGATCTTTACTGATTTTATACATGCATGTATCAGTAGGAATAATTCCTGACGGCAGAATATTCATTATTACCAACTATACTTTATTAATTTTCATGTTTCTGATCAAGTGAAGGTAATGAGTTCTAAAACCAATCGTATAATTTTGAATATTGCGAAATTTATTGTTGTTGCTGTCATACGTTATGTTTGTGAATAGCTGCGTATAACATTAAACCAAACCGGTACATGTTGTAGTTTTAGCTTTAGATGCATATGTTCAGTCTAGGCAGTTGATGCAGGAAGTGTGTAGATGATGATTGTTGGTGGCAGCAGATTGAAACGCACGTAAAATGTTCTGATGACCTATTGTGAAACTTCCACGTGAGCTCGCTATTGAGAGTGACATTCCTCAGTCCAAGTTCCACCTTCGTTATCTTCCCGGCATAGAGAGCTCCGCAGTAAGGAGTTTGTTTCAAACATTCATTCACTTCCGACATACTTCTTCATTTGAGATGCCTCGCGAGGTAACAGTTTCTAGAAGGCTGGCTGTACACAAGAGCGAGACGAGGCATATTCGAGGCCGTCTATATCTAGACTTGCAATTGCAACATATCTACTTGCCCTGTGTGGAAAGAATACCTTTCGAAAAGCCTTAACTCTTTTGCCAGCTTCCAACACTATTTCCTCGATTCAAGAACGGGGCACAAGCCTCATGCTAGGCGTTCGACTGTGGCAAGTTCTGAACATTCATGAGTGAACTGACATATGTGATAAGGCCGATTATATATTGCCGTTGCCACATTTCTGAACCACTGTATTGTCTTTTATAACTGTAATCCTAATCCGGTTTCAATATAAGTTGTTGGTTGTTCACTTATCTTCTGTGTTTATTCATTGATTTCACAATATAGTTCTGTACGTACCGTTCTGAGTAAACCTTCGCTTTTAAACTTTGTCTTCAAGTCGTAACAACGTTGTACGAAATGTCTTTCTGACAAATTAAGTATTTTCTTCCAGTTCAAGTACATTTTAACATACCAAGACATTACAACTGAAACAAAGTATGACTAGCCTCCTCAGTTCATGTTTAATAAGTGAAAAAAACTTTTCAATGAGCAGAGCTCAGTGTTCGATTCCGACTCGACTATGGTCATGTATTTATGGATCACTATTAAAAGAGTGATGATATTGGTGGTTCGCGAAACGGTGGGCGTCTCCTGCCATACCGGTGGCATCTGTCACAAACACACGCAAAGACAAGTTAACAGTTCACCTGAGAAAACACGGGAACATATTGTACAAGTCAAAATATGGAATTGCAATTTTGATGCGTCAAATTTGGAAATGTTCTCCACAAGTCTACCATAAGATTTAAACAACAGAACTGCAGCTCTGCAACAAAGGGCACTTCCTTGAAGTTGTGTCATTAGTACTGGTTTTCACAAGCTGAATGAACTTGTACATCACCATACCTCAGGTCTCAATACGAGCTCACAAATGGCAAAGACATATATTTGGTGATTATCTTGTGCCCGCCACTTGACTTTCAGTGGGGTAATGTTGACGTGACAAGGAAGTGGCGTAACGTCAACATCATAACGTTATGATATACGTATAGGCCAACTTGCATAGGTTTCACCAGACGGCGACTGGCCGGACATTCTTATCCTTTTCGCGAACACCTGGCATCATCACTGATTTGTGATCCATTCATATAATTTTTATTACCATTTTGCCTTCTTCGCCAAATGGAATCGTTTCGGCAGATAACTGAGACTTATTTTTCTCTGGCGTTGATGATTTGAATGTGTTATATAAAGACATATATGGCTGTTTGATGAGTTATATAAGTTACCTTGTCCATAACCATTTTAGTGTTAGGGTGTGAGTTGTTGAAGAACTCGGCAATCCTACAACCCATGATTGCTCCCCCTTCTACGTCACAGTTGTTGATAGTCTTCCAAGTAACACAATTGCTATTGCTGCTGGCCCTTTTGGGGTAGTACGTGAAGGTGCCATAACACATCTCGTTACTTATGGAAAAACCGTAGAAGGTGGTCTTTGTAGCAGACAGAGATTGGTATACACAAGTCGTCTTCAAGGAATCACCGCGGCGAATAGCCACTGGCGGATCATATCTGTGGGATAGAAAGTGGATTGCGGCAATTTCGTTTCGTCGAATAGATGAATGAAAAGGTTAGTGAGTATACAACATAAAATCTTACATTTAAACTACGAACTTCGGTGGACTTTCCTTATATCTACAAATCAAGGTTACGCGAGGGTATATATTTGAGGTGTGTTGTGCTAATGTCATTAAATAGTAATATCAGTCAGTATGTCATACAAATACATGTTTTAATAAACGAGCTTTGAATAGCAAATAATGACCTTTACCTTGGTAGCAGCTCCTATGACCTCCTCCCTACGCCTAAGGGTTTAACCCCCTGGATGCCACAAGGACACATATGTCCCTCCTCTACAACCCTCACTTTGAAGTCTGGCTCAGCGGTCATTATTTATAATACGTCAGGGAAAGCGAGGTTGCCAAGTTAACGAGGTTTTACTGTAGTTACTTCCCGACATGTTAACGAACGATAACGTTTGTTCAAATTCATGTTTCCCACGTGTGTAACTAAAATTCTGATGAATTTTGAAGAGCCTTACGTCATGCTTTTGGGGTTGTCGTAGCTGTAGTTCAGTTGATTAGTGAGATACCGCCTCTCGCCTCCGCTAAAGAGTTCCACCGTCTGTGCTACACCTGGAGGAACAATATTCAAGGTAATATAAGGGTAACGATCTTTTTCAGGGCATTATCATTTGCAGAAGCCCGAGGTCTTCCATTAACTGCCCGACGAAGGAGGGCATTTGAAAGACTGAGGGCTTCTACAAATGATAATGCCCTGAAAAAGAGCGTTACCGTTATTATAGCTAAAATGTTTGGAATTTGTTATCAAATACAAAGAAACAACAATATCGGTTTTGAAACATTTACTGCAATCAACACAAATGTCACTGACCCACTTTACAAATACGGAAACGTCATATAACAAACCAGATGACGTCCCTATTGAACGTGACGTCACCTATCCCTACCCTATGACGTCACCTAACAACGGGCATGATAATGGCCCGTCGTCAAGCAATATGAGGGCATTATCAAGTTACAGTGGCCCGCTGATTTCTGATAACACGCGGGCGGTTTAATGATAATTCTATCCATTTTAGCTATAAATTCAGTTATAACATATATAAATATAAAAAGTCAAAGCCAGATGATTGTCAGTTTTGCCACAGATTCCATCAGGCGTAAAAAGCAATAGTGGTGAAACTTAGGGATAGTTCACTGAAACTCAGTGACGACACCAAACCATGTGACATCAGCTGATATGTGGTGCTAACAAACATAATCAGGGTGAATCATGGAATCAACCAACAGATTGTTGGCCTATGCAACACGGGGAACAACGAATGGCTGTGCCTCCTGCATGAATAACCTACCTCTGTAATGCATATGGTTGAATCCCCCTATGATATATATGGTGTCGCTCAGGATCTTGTTGGTGCACCGTGAAGGACACATGGATTCGACCACGGTCCTGCTCCGTCCAGGCGGGATAACAAGGTTGGTTTCTCCTGTCCAAAACAGTCCCGCGTCGTTGGGGCGAAGGTTGGACGTGTAGTAGATGCTAAGGCCAGAACCATCCATCTTGTCAGATGTTCTTTCAGGGTTGTTCCAGTGAAACTGAAGCAAAAACACATACGTAAAATGAGATATCCAATATTACAAAAGGCGTCGTAAAACCATACCTGCACGCTTACTCCAATGTAGTATGACGTCTGTGCCGTTACGTAACCAGACAACAGAGTAACTAGTGGGTGATAGCATGAACACCAATCCATGCCATCTTAATACGATGGTACACAACCGGCCGGGTCTCACATTGTCCCAACCCATTGTTCACTGGTCGGTTGTTCTCTATGACAATAAGTCGGTGCTGGGCATTCTAATTTCCTAGAAACCCAAAGGGTGCTTACAGCTTTCATATGCGTTCCTTTGATATTTTTGCGCCTCAGTTGTACATGGCAATGAGGTGAGGTGATGGGAAATAAGGTTTGAAGTCGCCTTCATGTTTATTGCACTTATATAGCGACTGATCCGGACATAACCTGGTCCGGGTAAAGGCCGGTTAAAAGTGCACTGATCCACGAGATGACTTCCCACTCAGACACAGTACACTGACTCCGAGCCGAACAGTCCTTGTTTTATACTCTTAGTGCCGAGCGCCAGGCAAGTCACTTTTTTGGCGACGTCGCTGTCCAAGATGCGAACTTGTATACATAACAATATGATACTTTCTTAAACAACCTTTTTTCCAGAGATGGGAATAAAAATAACAAACAGCAGATAGTTTTGGGTACGGGGAATTCATTGCCGTATACCGTATTGACATTTAATAGACTATTCCCGATTGTAAGTTATTTTGCGATTCATGGATCTCATTTGGAGCCAAACGGACTGTAAATGACAGAGAGGTTATGATGAGTACCTACTGACGATCATTGACTGACGTTCAGGGTGCACATCTGAGAAGGGATATCGGTCGAGTTATATTCTTCTCCACGTTATAACTATTCCGGATCATACAGCTGGCTCACCAATCATGGGTTTTATGCACAAGGCTACCAAACCGCATCTAGGCCGGGGAGATGGCTAATATCAGATATCAACTACATGAATACTCTTACAAGTACCCGGCGGGGATTCCGGGTTAGTATTTATATGTCTGTCATACGAGGCGACCAAATGTTTCGGGTGGTCAGGCCTGGTGGCTCACCATGCTCCGACGTTGCACATAATATCAATCTCTGGTTTAGACTCGATGATGTACAGGCCGCCGTCATATAGCTGGGAAAATATATAGCGTTAAACAACAAACACAAACTCTTAGATGTTAACCGGAATGAGTTGAAATGGTTTCACTTGCATAATTACGTTATGAATAAGAGTAGGCCGTCTCCGTGGTCTAGGAGTAGAGCGTCCGCCCGGAGAGGGGAAGATTTGGGGTTCGATCTCCGGCCGCGTCATACGAAAAGACGTTAAAAGATGGAACTTGTTGTTACCCTCTCTGGCGCTCGGTATTAAGTGGCTAAAACAAGGACTGGTCGGCTCGGAGTCGGTATTCATGTTAAACTGCGGCATGGTATCTCAGTGTGCTAGCACTATACATCGGCATCAGTCCGAACCAGTACAAGCAGCCACACAAACACACTCACATACGTGGATGCACGTTGCTATTTAAGTGCAATAATCTTGGACGCGACGTTAAACCCAATTTCACCTTACCTCACCTCACCTCACCTATGAATAAGAGTAAGTATTTTGTGTACCTGAAGGAGAACCCTGTTGTAGCCAGTTTTGCCAATTCTAAAGCCAGCTTCTTTATGGAGACACTGACCAGGCATACCAACCGTCCAGAACCCAATGCCTTCCTGGCATGCAGGCATAGACTGTCCGCACTCTTGTGGACTTGTGATCACAGGCGCTGCAAGGACGGAAATCATACATATAGTCAATATGAACCCAACATGTTACGGGTCAAAATGGTGTATAATTCAGCAGTTGTCAGATATCATTTGTGGATAAAGTGAATTAATATGAATCCACTACTGTCCATGTGCAATCACCTTAACCTTCAGTAGGTATTTTGATACGCGTAAGAGAAGCAGCGGATTGCGGCGACTTTGACGGCTGACTCAAACGCCTCCTCAAGAGGACTGTTATTGGATATTTGTGTATGTAACTTCCAGTTTGGAATTTTACTGCTCGGGAAGAGCAATAAGTATCGGACCCTTTGTTGGAAATTTGTCAGAATTAGAAGTAGTAGTATGTGCATGAGCAGGGCATATACATGCACAAATGATCAATCATGTTACCAGTATGGTGAAACAGATAATATTCCCACTCCCGCTCAAGACGGGCGACACACAAGTTCACTCAGTCGTCACAGAATTACACGCCAGACGCATTTAACATTTTATATGTATTACTGGGCATAAATAAAACAAATTATTTGGTAAAACGGGAATAAATAGTTTATATTTACCATTATCACCACATCCATAAAGGATGATATGGTGCACGACGTTAACGTTGTCTATTTCCGGTTCTGTGGCAATCAGGTGGTAATCCTGTGATTGGTCCAGGTCAAAGGTCATGCACACATAAGTGGTTTCCTTGTCAGGTACTGCTGTTCGTGGAATCTTCATAATCTGTTTTTGGACTCCTGCAAAGGGGAAAAGGATTAATATGCAAACGCAAAGGCTGGAATTTCATAATCCTCCTCCCCTTCTCCCTATTTCGCTCTGTCTGTATCTCTCTGTCGCTCTCTTCTCTCACACACACTCTCTCTGTCGCTCTCCCTCTCTCTGTCTCTCTTTCTTTCTCTCTCTCTCTCTCTCTCTCTCTCTCTGTGGGATGTTCTGTGACAATATATCATCACGTACCTGTTTCTGTAGTTGCTGTACAGTTGAATTTAGAACACTCTCTTCTCTCACACACCCTCTTTCAATCTCACTCTCTCTCTCTCTCACTCTCTCTCTCTCTCTCTCTCTCTCTCTCTGTGGGATATTCTGTTACAATATATCATCACGTACATGTTTCTGTAGTTGCTGTACAGTTGAATTAAGAACTCTCTCTTCTCTCACACCCTCTTTCAATCTCTCTCTCTCTCTCTCTCTCTCTCTCTCTCTCTCTCTGTCTATCTCTCTGGGATGTTCTGTGACAATATCTTATCACGTACCTTTTTCTGTAGTTGCTGTACAGTTGAATTTAAAACACTCTCTACTCTCACACACTCTCTTTCTGTCTCACCCTCTCTCTCTCTCTCTCCCTCTCTCTCTTTCTCTCTCTCTCTCTCTCTCTATCTCTCTCTCTCTGGGATGTTCTGTGACAATATCTTATCACGTACCTTTTTCTGTAGTTGCTGTACAGTTGAATTTAAAACACTCTCTTCTCTCACACACTCTCTTTCTGTCTCACCCTCTCTCTCTCTCTCTCTCTATCTCTCTCTCTCTCTGGGATGTTCTGTGACAATATGTTATCACGTACCTGTTTCTGTAGTTGCTGTACAGTTGAATTTAAAACACTCTCTTCTCTCACACACTCTCTTTCTGTCTCACCCTCTCTCTCTCTCTCTCTCTCTCTCTCTCTCTCTCTCTCTCTCTCTCTCTCTCTCTCTCTCTCTCTCTCTCTCTCTCTATCTCTCTCTCTCTCTCTGGGATGTTCTGTGACAATATGTTATCACGTACCTGTTTCTGTAGTTGCTGTACAGTTGAATTTAGAACTTGTACACGGAGCTGTGATGAGTCCAGCACACGTCTGACTTGAAGAGGTATCACAAAAACCTGAAATGAATTCTCTGGTCAATACATGACGCTCGCTATAAATTACGTATATTAGATGTTATACTTTCTGGAGGACAGCCCACAACAGCATCCAAGCCCAGCGTGACCTGAACATGCACTGTCTCAAAATCACTTGATTGTCTGATCCAGGCTCGATTGTTTACAGGTCGAGACGCCATCATGAATATTGTCGACCGCAGCTTTAATCAACAAACAAACAAATAATAACATTGGAATATGTGTACGTATGGTCACCACAACATAAATATATTCTTGGATATCGATAGTTTCATTTATCTATGCTTCCCACAAATGTAAACGAGATCCTACCATGGGTATATCGCGTCAAGTATATTCCTCGAGTAGTGGTTCCTAAAACGATATCCCTCACGTTCATTTGATTAGCGTTAGAGTATTAATTTCACAATAAGAAGATCCGGGGTAGAAGAGATCTTCAGCAACCCATGCTTTCCGTAAAAGGCGACTATACTTGTCGTAAGAGGCGACTAACGGGATCGGGTGGTCAGGCTCGCTGACTTGGTTGATGCATGTCATCGTATCCCAATTGCGTGGATCCATGCTCATAATGTCAATCCCTGGATTGTCTGGTCGAGACTCGGTTATTTACAGACCACCGTCATATAGCTGGAATATTGCTGAGTGCGGCGTTAAACAACAAACAAACAAACACAATAACAAAATAGAGTTTTCTTGGTTCCTTGGACTGTGATAGCAGGCCTTTGGCGAAGATTACAACTAAACATACACAATGTAGCAAGATAACTGTCATCAACAACGTTATTTTGGAATAACATATTGTTTGGATATGACTAGATTGTTATCTAACCACTGATCAGGATAAATCGCTACTGAAAGAAGTTTTAGCCTGATTGAATGTTTACCAACAAAGAGACCACCTCTGTGGTCTAGTGGTTAAAGCGTTGACCTGAGAGTTGAAGGTCGGTGGTTCGATATCCCTACCTCACCCATAGAAACCAAGAGAAGTCTGCTATCACGTTTCATTGTACATGAGTACCTAACTTGGTGTTGATAATATATATTGTTATCGAACCACTGATCAGTTTAAATTGGGTAAACTGTTAGCAGAATACCGAACTGTGTTTTAACCTTTAGAGATGAATAAACACTAACAAAGAGAACCCAGACTCCTATCAAGTTCCATCGTTGTACTTACCTGGGTGTGTGAGTCCAGTTGTCCTTGCGGGCGTGGCTCCTCTTGTCCACATGCACTGTGGGTCACCCAGCTCTTGACCATTGGTCATCCCATCACCATCAGAGTCCATGTTACACACATTAGCCCACTGTATGGACAGGAAAAAGTTTTATTTTTTTATTTTTTTTGCGAATGTGTTGGCATGGATGGCCTAATCGTCTAAATCATGGCAAATTGCCAAGTAGGGTTGCGTCCCTTAGGAGTAGCATGATCCGATGATCGAAGGCTAAATGCCTGATAATGATCCTTAGTTGTTACGTACATTTTATCCGTCCTTCTTCCCACAAGCTGACGTGCCGTAATATTAATCAATTCCTGTTCAAAGCGGTGTTAAAAACAACTCACTCACTCTCTTACGTTACGTCTGTTCGTGTTCGACCTCACCAGACAGACTTTATCGTTCACGTGAAAACATGAAGATGCAAACAGTGATATAAACATCAACACATGGGAACAAATGGGAAACGCGAAGCAATGTATATCGGGAAATGATCATGAATATCAACATTCACAGGTAAGTGTGTTCAGCGTTCATGCTCTCGTTAACACTTTATCTTACAAAAAAATCCTCAGTTATATTTTCTCACCATTCTGCCCTGGTTTGCAAAATCAATGCCGAAATGATTTGTGTCACCTCCACCCCCGGGATTCAGATGCCCCACCCCATGCCACAGCTCCCCGGTCACACAAGGGTTGGGCAGGGTGTAGCCATTGGGTATCATGTCCCTGTACCCGCTATGGCCATAGATCACCCCAATGCATGTGAAGAAAGCGGCAAATCTGTTGGAAACGGACAAACATAAACAGGAACTTAACTTAAATGGTTCACGAGTACAGTACAGTGTAACTGCATTGACATCATGAAACTAATTATTACGAAGGCTTTGGAACCTTCCAACACAGATCAGGGCTCCGTCCCACAAAGCGATCTTAGCGCTACGAGTATCGTAAGCCAGCGTTAAAGTAAGGGAGTTACGATCACCTATGAGCTAATTAAGATAGCTTTGTGAAACGGGGCTCAGGTGTTATTCTGAAACAAACTATCTCTTACAACCGTTTAAAGAAAAGTAAACACGACGAGAGGTTTCACTTCGTAAAATCCCGAACAACCCGCTATGGACACATGTACCTCGTACTATCGATATAATACATGACCTACCGATACGAACCTCGTATCGCGGGATATGGTATCGCGATATGTGATTATCGTGTTTGCAGGATTATAAAATGGTCCAAACGGTCATTCTCGCCTACCTTACGGTCAACATGTTGATCAAAGTCAAGCTGTACCCGCAAGCTTTTGACGGTGTTCTGTCTTCTGTTGGTTTGATTCTAAGGTTCACTCAATATCAACACTGTATATATGAAATAGGAGCAACCTTTGAGCTTATGTAGTGAATCCCAACACTTATGCAAGCTCGATGACAGTGCAGTAAAAGTAGGTCAGGATCTGGAAATGCAAATACGTCGTCAGGGTTTGGCTCAGCAGTGAATTTATGACAACACTTTCTCACATACCAAATAACAACCCAATCTTTTCACAGTTTGAAAGAGTCGATGACCTTGTGTGCTGAATATCGCACCTGAATAGGGGAGGTGAGGTGCAATTGGGGTTTAACGTGACGTTCAGGTTTATTGCAATTATATAGCGACGTGCATTCATTTGTAAGCGTGGCTGCTTGCACTTGTCCGTGTAATGTTGATTTTGTAGTGCTAGCCCAATGAGATACATGAACCACTACCGCTGTTTAACATTGTTACCCCTCTCAGGCACAGTAAACTGACTCCGTGCCAACCTGTCCTTGTTTAACCCTCTTAATGCCGAACGCCAGGCAGGGTAACAACAAGTACCATATTTTAAGGTATTTTGGAAACTGGTGTATGGTTTCATTCAGAAATAAATTTCAAAAGACGCGATACCTGTTTATGTTTGAACTTGCCGTTTACTTAAAGATGTAGACGTGTTTAGTTGTACCAAGCAGTGAGTGCGTCTCGAACTAGATAAGTATCGCTTTAGATACATCTGCACGTTTCGTTTTCTTTCAGTTCGTGCTGGTAATGGACGCACGCTGCACGTCCTGCTGAACACAGCCGCTCACAGACACCAAAAAGGGGCGGTCGGGTAGCCTAGTGGTTAAAGCGTTCGCATGCCACGCCGAAGACCCGGGGTCGATTCCCGACATGGGTACAATGTGTGAAGCTCATTTCTGGTGCCCCCCGCCGTGATATTGCTGGAATATTGCTAAAAGCGGCGTAAAACCATACTCACTCACTCACAGACACCAAACTGCAGACCCTTAATTTTAACCCGGATTATAACCACGTGTTCAAAAGGCATTGATGATGTTTATCCCAAGCAAACTGGATATTTCTTGAAAAGCGCACTTTGCGATTCTTGTCATGTCTGTAACATTCATTAATTGCTTCTGCTCCCTGCTGTTTTCACTTCATAAATATTAGAACACACGCAATTATCTTCGTAAAATAATGGCGATACTTCGTGATTCTATTTCGAGTGGCGAGGACATTAGTACAAAGAGCAACACACACGCACACACACACTCTCTCTCTCTCTCTCTCACACACACACACACACACACACACACACACACACACACACACACACACACATACACCCGTGCGCGCGCTCGACGTTAAACTGTATGTCCCCTCACCCAACACCATTCATTTAAACACGGTTTTTAAAATATTCCTGCCATAATATAGTACGTTATTACTGTTTTTGATATAAATATTCAACTTCAGATCAACTTGCATTGTGTCCAGTGTCGTGTGTAAATCTACGTGCATATTGTCCTGGCATAAAAAGTTGTTTGATAAATACTACTGTGATGCACATGTATGTACTTGTAAGTGCGTTATTAGACACATATACATCAATGTCCATGGTATGTTACTTAAAATCAAATATTTACTATAGATCTTTCTTTGTGGATCACACACTGTATGTGTCATTTTGATATAGCAATATCACTTAGTAAAAACTCGCAATAACTACATTTAAAGAAATTTTGTGTTTTGATAATTCCACGAGCATTGTGTTTCAATTCTATCACAGAGAGAATAGTTGACTCGAAATAGAAAAACAGCAGAAATTATTATTCCAAACTGTAATAGCTATGTGTTATAATGTTGTAAACATAATAGATATTAACACACAATGCCATTTATAATTAGAAAGTGGTCAAATGTAACAAATGTTAGCGTTATATTTGGGATAACACTTTCTTAGTAAAGTACAGATTTTCATACTTTCTCTGGTTTAGTCCTGTCCGGAATTCGAACACACATTGCCAGAGTGAGGCACCTAATCGCCAGCACACAAAGTCAGCGATCTAACCCACACAGCCACCGATGCTCCCACAAAAATGAAAGTCCGACAACTGGTTGTCTAGATCACATACTCTGTCGGACTTTCACTTTTGTGGGAGCAAAAACTGTCACTCAATGCCCTGAACGTGCTTGTCAACGTTTACAAAATGATCTTTCAGCACACTGTCACTTGATTGAGTGAACGTCTAAAAGTTGTGATCCTGTCATCACAATTGTTTCATCGCTACCTTTGACTTGCGCCAATTTCAGCTCAATGGCGTTCAATTCTGAGTGTTTTGGGGTGGACAAAGAAGATGGTGTCCATTTACCTCCTCAATCTTATCAGTAATATACACAGCAGGTTTTGACTTAATGGGTATGAGTATGAGTATACAACACAGGGTTAGTTGTTGTCGCAGGGTAGGATGTGTTTATTTGGTTCAACCAAGACTGGAGTACTCACTGTCGATGATACCAGCGAAGATACAGGTAAGAACTGATCTTCATCAACCTATGATTGTCGTTCAGGTTCGCAGACCTGTTTGATACACTTCATCGTATCCCAATTGCGTAGATGGGGGCTCATGATGTTAATCACTGGATTGTCTGGTCCAGACACGATTATTTACAGAACGCTGTCGTATAGCTTGGATAGTACCGAGTGCGGCATTAAACAACAAACAAACATTCAAATCTTGGCATATGAACAATGTTATGAACAATTGATTTGCACCTAAACTTCATAGTGCTTTACACAGTGGTGTAACCGAGTGGTATCCCAGACACAGGTGCTAACAAACTCCAAATACACTGAGGTGTTTTCTTACGTAGAACTTTACCTTGAGGTTACAGTTCCATATAAACCACCTATGCGTTGGTGCGGAGATGCACTTACAATTATCCCCATCAAATTGGATGCCGTGATACTCCACCAATAAATTAAAAGTTGAGTGAATGTCTGGTGCGAATGCAATCTTTTTATATGCATTGTCCCTTTGATCGAAATTCATTGTAACTGTATCTCAGTGTATACGGAGTGACTAACAATTTTAGAAAAAAATCTCTCAGAGCCCTTTACTCCATCTTCCCGGGGCAAGGGCGTTAACTAAGTATAAAAGTCCAGTTTCCACCCTTGCCGAACTAAGCTGGAATTTCCAGGTTCGATCGTAGCGCCAACAGTGGCAATTGCGAGTTATGCCCCTTCTATGTCCCTGCAACTGACCAATCAGGTTCCCCCTCGCATATCACTTGCATCTGCTTCAAACAAAATGGGGGGCACGGGTGGCCCAGTCGTCTAAGGCGCCGCGATTCGCTGTGCAGAGTTGCGTCCCTTCGGCACGCCAGAAACCTATGATTGTGGGTTCGAATCTCGGTTCGCCCCGATTGTGTTTCTAGGTTTGTCAGCATCATACTCGTGCTCGTGGGTTTCACCGAAGTGGTAAACGTCTGAGACCTGCAGCACTTCGGGCTTTCCTCCCACATTAAGCTGACACGCCGCGATATGACTGAAATACTGTTAAAAGCGGCGTTAAACCCAACTCACTCACTCACTCACTCAAACAAATTGGCGGCACCCTGTGAAGACGATCTGATCGATAATCAAGATCTATATTGTGATAAGATAAATATCTGTCAACGCCGAGTATACATGCTTTGCAAATCATGCAGTCTACCGAAATCTGCACGTTGATATCAATGTTGTTCACGAACCAGATGTCTAGTTCGTCCCGCGATTTTGATTGGACAAAGTATAAACTCCGACATACGAGCCTAGTTCGGCAAGGGTGGAAACTGGACTTTATAGTCCGTTCAACGCACTTACCTCGGGAAGACGATTTACTCTTGAATACACACTGTCGCTCGGCTAAGAGCAAGCAGAGTCTATTTGAAGGTGTCGGCCTACTTTACAGGGGACTCCATGTTCCATTTCACTCTACCGCACCAAACCTGAATAAACAGCTATGCGAGTGTTGACAAAACAGACTGGCGCACCTAAATTATTCAATATTTGCTGTTGGCAAATACCATCATTTTCTTGTGGTTGTGGCAGGCGCTTACAGTCTTAGGGAGATCCCTCTAGTTACAGGAAGTATTAACCAATGTAAACACATTAATTTGGGGAATTCTGTTCCAAAGTAACTAGGCGTAATAGTGACAGCATGTTTTGTACAAGTCGCTGAAATATGTAGTTAGGTTATATCGTGATATATCTATAATACTCTTCACAGCATCGATAAGTACAACTCCCTCCCACACTAAATCATGTTATTTGTAATAAAACTCGTATGACACTGTCGTTTGTTGAAGCACACGTATAATAATAATAGTTCACCATGTTAATTCATGTTATTGTCCCTAAAATCGATACCCTCTGAAATATTTTATCGAAAAGTCCCACAGATAATGCTGATTTTCATCTGATTTCTTTCAAACACCTAATAAATTACTTGCAAAACTTTCGCAATTTTTTTATCGATTAATGATATCTGCTCAACCTTAAGCTACAATTCATATCATTGAATGTGTTCATCTTGGCGTAAAGAATTGTATGCGCATGGTTAGAGGCGACTAACGAGAACGGGTGGTCAGGCTCGATGGCTTGGTTGATACCTGTCATCCTATCCTAGTTATGTAGGTCGATGCTCATGCTGCCACTTGATTGTCTTGTACAGACTCCATTATTTACAGACCGCCGCCATATAGCTGGAATATTGCTGGGTGCAGGGTTAAACAACAAACAAACAAAACAATAATGAAACTATCTTGGTTCAACTTCAGAGGGAGCAATCGGTTGAAACGGGGATTTTTGTTTGTCTAAGTATCTCCTACGTAGGAGATAGGAAGTCCTACGTAGGAGATAGTGATTCTAGGCCATACTAAGTCCTACGTAGGAGATGCTTGGACAAAAAAGATTTTACCGTTGCCCTACTGCGCTTCCGCAAGACTACAACTGGAAAATAGACTTTTGTTCAAGATATATGTGTTCAAGTGGTTCACCAAGTGAAGATGTTGCTGTTTAAATGTTTAGGGTTTTTTTATGAAAGCTTATGGTTCCATAGAAGAAAAAGGCATCTCCCTATTATGAATATTCTCACGATACGACGCGGCTTGTATAAATTGTCTCACCAGAGGCAGGGGATAGAAATACAAGCAAGCGAATAGGCAGATAATTTGAAAGAATGTTTTTTGTAAGGCGGTATATAAGGATGGCCTACTGGTGATCATGATAAAACCCCTGCCTCCGTGGTATCTATGGCTGTTAAGGCGCGATGGGGTAGGCTAGTGGGTACACTGTTCGCTAGTCACGCCGAAAACCATGGGTTGTTCCTCACACCATGTACCAAGCCCATTTCTGGTGTGCCCCGCTGTAATATTGCTGAAATATTGCTGAAAGCGGCGTAAAACTATATTCACTTGCTATGGCGGTTAACAAATCAAACGAAGCGCTTCGACTGCTGTAACATTTGTCATGCATCACGTGAATCACACAACATAGATTTATAACGAAACGGTTGAATACTGTCTCTGGTTTGTCATGTTATTGATTGTCCCGCATTTATATACAATATTAATGGGACATGGGCACCGTAAGCACTAAGTGGGCCGGGCAAAAAAACTATGATCAAGGGTTCGAATCCCAGATCCACACTGATCATATTTCTCGGCTTGACTGCACCATGACCGTGCTCGTAGTTTCACCAAATGGATAAACGTGTACCTTAGTTTTCATTTCGGGTTTTCTCGAACGTTTTCAAACGCTGCAATATAACTGAAAAATAACTGTTCACAATACGCCCACTTAACATGCAAAGTAAATGTTCTCTTATGTTGGTGACTAACATATATATAAATTGCCAATGCAAGAGAATAACAAATCTAGAATATCCGCCGACACAGATTCCATTTGGCGTAAAGGGCAAAGTGGCTGTGAAAAGTATATACATGGGCCACTGAAAATCAGTGACGACACCTGGTGTTCGCGAAAAGCATTCATTCATTCGGAACATATGATGAGTGGGTGAGTGAGTTGGGTTTAACGCCGTTTTTAACAGTATTCCAGTCATATCACGGCGTGTCAGCTTAATGAAACCCACGAGCACGGGTATATATGGTGCTGACAAACCTAGAAACATAATCGGGGCGAACCGGGATTCGAACCCACAATCATAGGTTTCTGGCGATCCCAAGGCACGTAATTCTGCACAGCGAATCGCGGCGCCTTAGACGACTGGGCCACCCGTGCCACCGAACATAAGATGAGGTGAAATGTGGTTTAACGTCGCGTTTCAAATTATTGCACTTATTTAGCGACGTGCATGCACGTGACTGTGTGTTTGACTGTGTGTACTAGTCCGGTTTTATAATATAGCACAGAGATACCATGCCGCAGTTTGACATGGGTACCTCACCAAGAACCTCATATTGACACCGAGCCGTCTTTATTTTATCCTGGTAACAGGCCGGGTAACAACAAGTACCATCTTTTAACTTATTATGATATGCCGCGGTCAGGGGACTGGGCAACCGACTTTCCGGTTTCCACAAGACCACGAAGACGGTCACCCCTCGGACGTGTTAGACAAGGCTGTATGTCATCATGTTAAGGACGCTCTTATAAAATACGAAATAAATGTGTTTTAACACTTGACAATAATGCCATCCAATGGTGAGTACTTAACTGATCGGGTGGTCAGACTCCCTGACTTGGTTGATGCATGTCATCGTATTCCAAATGCGTGGATTGATGCTCATACCATCACTCACTCACACCACAATCGACGAACGAGATCGGGTGGTCAGGCTCGCTGACTTGACGGATGCCTGTCATCGTATCCCAATTGCATAGGTCGATGCTCATTCCATCACTCACTGACACCAGAATCGACAGACGAGATCGGGTGGTCAGGCTCGCTGACTTGACGGATGCCTGTCATCGTATCCCAATTGCATAGGTCGATGCTCATTCCATCACTCACTGACACCAGAATCGACAGACGAGATCGGGTGGTCAGGCTCGCTGACTTGACGGATGCCTGTCATCGTATCCCAATTGCGTAGGTCGATGCTCATGCCATCAGTCACTGACACCAGCATCGACGAACGAGATCGGGTGGTCAGGCTCGCTGACTTGACGGATGCCTGTCATCGTATCCCAGTTGCGTAGGTCGATGCTCATGATGTCACTGGATTGACTGGTCCAGACTCGATTATTTACAGGCGGCCGTCATGTAGCTTGAATGTTAAACAACAAACAACCAAACAAACAAAGAAACAAACAAACAAACTAAATTGAAATATGAAATAGATTAAAGATTTGAAATAAACATACTCTAGGATGGTCCCAAAATGTGCCAACTACAAAGTGTGTGTAAAGTATTTTAAATAAGATCTTGAGGTTTTGTGACAATGAATACACCATTGATATGTCAATATTTTATTTCCACAAAACAGCAATGAGATCATATTCTCCGTGCATCATCTTTAAAAGCTATTCAATTGTGCACATCCTAGCGTGTCGAAATGTCGTGAGAGTCTGACCTTATTTTCATTACTTCAATACATGCAATTTAATCATACAGCAAACTCGCTCCCCTACTGGGAATGCTTCGTCATTTATTATTGTTAACAGATATCAAAATGAAGTTATTACGCGATGGTGACAAGTTAACACGCAACTCTATTAAGACCATCCTAAAAAGTAATACACATAAATAATTTGTTTATTTAGAAGATACTTTGTTGAAACATTGGTGTGTATATCTTCAAAATTCAATGCAAACTGCTGGGCAAAAAAAAATATACATTTGAAAGTTTATTTGACCAAAACATTACACACGTTACCAAACTGTTACACACGTTACCAAACTGTTACAAGGCTGAAAACAGTCGCCGACACTGTTAGATCCAAAAAACAACTATGATACCCGTACGAAATACAGCACCATCGGTACATTTGTAGCCATCAGACACGGGTGTGTACTTTTTTTTCCCGGCAGTTGAATATTATAATGAGCCCAGTAGACTGCGGGATACACAAATTATGTAGGTACAGTTTACCATGGTGGAAATGAACATACAGTCATCTACAACAGTAAGACTGAACAGAATGCCAGGACAACAGTTGATACAAGGGCGTCAGCCGATGTAGCCCCGGCAGTTGAAATTGGGTATTTCCCGTTGTCGTCCTTCTTGCATGAGCAGGATCCAAATGCAGCTACAAATTTGGTTGTTTTGAGATCGGGGTTTCTGGACCTCATGGTCAGCAGGTAATTCTGTACATCACCCTTGGCTAGACAAGGATGACGCTCAGCCTCAGCAATAGCTGCAGGACATTCCTCTCGACATCCATAGTAAGGACTGCAATTGTCCAACACCTGAAAAGCATGATATCTAAAGATTGTGATCGGAACGACTATATGACTTTACAGTGAGTGAGTTTGGCTTTAGGACAACAGTACCCAAATCGGACAGAACCCTTGGTTATTGGGTTTGCAACGCCAGAGGGCCGTGACTGCACCGCAAATTGCAGCGTCTTTGATAACTGGGCCACCCGTGCACACAAGTTACTTTACAGATTGATGCTTTATATAATATTGTTAGTGTAAATATGACAAGTCTCCCAGATATATTTTCATGTAAATAAAGTGACAAAACTCTTTCCATAATAATACCTATCTGCTTAAAGGAGAGTTCATTCTGGTTATATCATGAACATGTGTATATGAATCCCTAAACGCTAGTGATGATATATAGCAGGAGTTCGCAAAAGGGTGAGCGTGCCCACCGGGTGCCCCCCGTCGCAAACACGTGCAAAAGCAAGTCAAGGGTTTACTTGAAAGAACACAGTATACGGTAGAAGTCGAAATTGTGATTTCATTTGGTTTTACAAGACCGGAACTGACGGGGACATGCTTACCTATTCGCGAACGCATGGTGTCTCTGAGGTTTAGTGATACATTCATGTATAATTTTCATCACAAGTTTGTCTTTTTGACTGATGAAATCTGTTTTACGCTGCTATTTGACACATATTATGCTCTGACGTCTTTAATGTACCATGTTATGTTATATAACTTACCTTGTCCATAACCATTTTAGTCACAGGATGTGAGTTGTTGAAGAACTCGGCAATGTTGCAACCCATTAATGCTCCCTTTTCAATATCACAGCGGTTGAGAGTCTTATAAGTGACACAATTGCTATTGCTGCTGGCCTGTTTGGGGTAGTAGATGAAGATACCAAAACACATCTCGTTACTTGTGGCATCACCGTAGAATGTGGTCGTCTTAGTAGACAGAGATTGGTATACGCAAGTCGTCTTCAAGGAATCACCACGATGAATAGGCACGGGGGGATCATATCTGTTTGACAGAAAATGGATTAGTGGAGATCTAAGACTAGTAAATCTTTTCTAAGGTTCATGTAGTCTTTTCTTCAAGTCTTATAGTGAGTTAATGTGTTTTTATGCCGCTTCCGCATTAAGCAATATTCTTGCCATATCACGATGGGAGACACCGGAAATGGGTTTCAAATGTTTTACCCATGTGGTGAATCGAACCCAGGCCTACAGCGTGACAGGCGAACGCTTAAACACTAGGCTCCCCCACAGCCCCCAGTTCGAATACAAAAGGAATGGTACTTGCTACGTGTTCATCGCTGCAACAGTACTAGAATGTCACGTTTTGAAGTAAGTTTACCTCACATCAATACGACCTTATTCTGAAAGAACATGATCATGTCTATTTATGTTTCTGGTGTGTTGTACCAATGTCATCAAATGCAATCAATCTTGCACAGTGTGGTTATTTCGGAAGTTTGTTTGTTTGCTTGTTTGTAGTCCGCACAAACTTAGTTCGGAGGTATTTTTCAGTGTGGCCAGTGATGAGTCAAAATATCACGAATGATCGATCGTGTGGTGCAAAACACATTACTTTGCTCGCTAGATCATACAAATTACTGCAGCCATTTTCAATTCGTTCGTCAGTCATTATGTACTTCATAAACAAGTATTATTTTACTTGAAAGTCATTACAATTTCAGAATTCATCGCCTTGACGTAATCGATTGACTGTCGATTGACGTGATCAGAATTATCAAAGAATGTCAAGGTGAATTTTAACAACTAAATATACACATACATTAGATACATTCATTTTATATTCCTTGGGAGCATACAAGGAAACCGACTCGGAAAAAACCTCACAGGTTTGCTTGCATCGCATCTCGGGGAACCCTTTTCCTTCTGTTGTATTCACAAGATAGAATAAACAGTCAAAATATATTACAACGCCATGTTAACCGAGTTTTGTACTGCAAACAAGGACCTTCTCCTCTGCAGTAGATTCATAACCTCCCCCCTACACCTTTGGGTTATAATACATACCGCCTCGCTCAACGGTTTTTATTTGTATTCCCCGGAAAGCGCGACGTATACTACTCTACTACTAAAGATAATTTCAAAAAAAGTTAACGAAAATTATACAAATTAATATGCTATCGCTACATGTATTACTATTACTCAGATGCTTTTTGAAAGGTCTTACGATACGCTTGTTGGATCGTCGTAGTTGTAGTTGAGATCATTGGTGAGGTACCTCTTCTGGTCTCCGCTGAAGAGTTCTACCGTCTGTGCGATGCCTGGGAGAAGGATAGTCAAGTTATATTGAGTTATAACAATGTACAGGCTGTGTAGAGTTGCATCCCTAATTAGGCGCACCAGAAACCTTAGACGACTTCCAGTTCGACCTCATCACGTACATGTGCGCTTCGATTTTATCCATGTGTTAAACGGCCTAAACCTGCATCACTTAGGGCTTTCCTCCAAATCAAGCAAATTCGCCGTGATATAACAAACATCACGTGGCGTAATAATTTACTATCTGTGATGTGAGGGCAGATACAGTATATTCGATGAAACATATTTCTACAGAACAGAAATCAGCTCTGAAATAATGATAAGCACTTGGGTGTTGTACTTGCAGTGGCAAATGTGATTGTCATATAGATACCATAGTAAAAAATAACCTCCTACATGATTTATTCGATGAGAAAAATCAAACATCTACTTCACAAGACAGAGTGATAACAATATCTATAACATGTTCATAAGACCACACTTTGAATAAGCATTTGAGGTAAGGGGTGAAGGACAAAGTGAGGAATTAGAACAATTACAACTGCATGCATTCTAGCTGGCCTACCGAAGTAAGTCCCCAGGCTTTCAATGTTTTACGAAACTGGCATTAACTGAAATATGGTACAAGCAGTCATAGTCAGGGCGAAGCTTGGAATCGAACCCAGGACACGCCTATGTAACTGTACACAGAGAATGTCAGTGCTTTAGATTACCTGACCATCCGTGTCTCCTGAATAATGTGAAGTAACTTACCTTTGTAATGCATGTGGTTGATTCCCGATATCATATATATGGTGTCTTTCAGGATCTTGTTGGTGCAGCGTGCGGGACACATGGATTCGAGCACGGTCCTGCTCCGTCCAGGCGGGATGACAATGTTTGTGTCGCCTGTCCAAAACACCCCTGCGTCGTGGGTGCGAAGGTTGGGCGTGTAGTAGAGATTGAGGCCAGAACCATCCATCTTGCCAGTTGCTTTTAAGGGGTTGTTCCAGTGAAACTAAAAGAAAACATACACGAAGGATAACGTGTGGAGATTTCCATCTGATGACGTCATAAAGCACTGTGCCGTCACACAACCAGTAGGACAACCAATGGGAGTGTCATAACGTTTTTAAGCAAGAGTCTAATGAGGCTCTTTGCAATCTTCGTAGAATGATCATGCTCGATTGTACCTCAAAAGTCACGAAACAGATGAGGTGGTCACATGTGTTTCTAGTTCAGGTGGGTAAATCAGTAGAAGGGGATTGGCTTTTTAACTGTTAATGAACTATATCCAATCATCGATATACCCGAAATATTCCCTTGATTATATTTATGCCAGCGAAAGAAGAAATTCAGATTCATATGCATAAATAAGCAGATCAGCAAGAAGGGGACCGCGATTGGTGCCCATTGGGATACCTACTTCTTGCCAAAATTTCTTATCCCCAAATTTCACATACGTGGTATCAATGAGGAAGCCCAGCATGACCCAAATTGGGTTTCTCAGTACACTTCAGATGGCAGTTGCTTTCATTTTTGACAAATTGTCTTGAAACTCTGAAGATAGAAATGTAAGTATATCAATGGTCACCACGTTTAGAAATAAATGCCCCAAGAATCAAGGAATGAAGTTTTTTGTTTGGAATAGTGGTGTACACAATTGAAAAATCAAATGTTTTGGTTCTTTACTAAGATTGCAAACATGGTATCGACTTTCTGTGAACAAAATAATATAAAGTGAATATAAACTCTTTCCTTGATTGTATGAAGGGTTATGGTTAATTCCATCTTTGAGATTTTGTGGTACATTTGCTGGACCCAGCACTACATGTATATCTCTCTTTATGTGGGTATTTATGGAGGTTTAGAATCCAGTACAAAAGAGCAGTGGTTTTAGAGTCAGGCAAAACATGATACCACTGGTGCGTATTGCAGATGTTTGCAGACGTGTTCCTCAGTTAACAACATGGCCATATTTGTGGCATTATTTTATATGTCACGTATACCACGTTCTTTGATCAAATAATTAATTTGGTGATGCTTACATACCATAGTCATGTTAGTTAAGGCCTAGTCAGTGGGAACATCTACACACTTTTCCTGTATGGCAGTCAGACTTTGGATGACAGCTGGCTGGGACAGAATGAGTTAATTCCAGTTCTATATCCCCATTTAGAGTTTGTGCATACTACCAATGACAACATCCAGCACTGACATATCCCACTCTGAAAGCCAATCAGCTTCCTCTTCTCTTTGCCCCAGCTTTTGAAACATTCTTCCACAGCATCTATAATGATTTTATTATTGTAACCCTGCTTGGTAGGAAACTGCTCACGATATTTTGGTCCATATTTGAAAAACTGAGGACGTTTGTCTATTGTCAGCCACACAGCCACATTAAAGGTTCAACAGATAGATAGAGGTAGGATGATACTTGGCATCCTCAAATAGTTGAATTTATATCATTAGCTGCAAAGTCCGAGTTCTGCAACATGTTCTTATAATTGGAAAACTCTGATGAAATGGTGTTCGTATAGGAAAATGAAATTGTTGGTGGTTCCCTTAATTTGAAATCATGTGGGACATTTTAGGAATTGGTTCATTGCATGTCACCGTACCGAGTTGCACCTAATACCGCCTCTGGTTTGTCTGGTTCAGACTCTGTCACAACAGCTCGCCGTCATATATCGTTGAGGCTTTTGCGTGTGTGGATGTTAAACAACAAACAAACTCTTGGCGGTATACCAGATTGGGTTCAAATGGTTTCACGTGCATATTTAGGTTGTGAATAAGAATACAAGTATTTTAAGTACCTCAAGGAGGACCCTCTTGTAGCCGGTTTTTCCAATTCTGAAGCCAGCTTCTTTGTAGAGACACTGACCAAACATGCCAAAGCTCCACAACCCAATGACATCCTGGCAGGCAGGGCTGGACATCCCGCATTCTTCTGGACTTTCAATTTTGGGCGCTGCAAGGAAGGAAATCATACATGTAGACATAATGAACCAAACATGTCATCTTTCATCCCCATTTCTTTTGCATAAGATCTACGATGCAACATCGAATCACCGGTTCCACATAAGTGTATGGGATCAGAAGTGGTGTTACAGATTTGTTGAGTGCTGCTTTAGCATCAGCATCAGCCATTGTGTTACCAACGATTCCAGCATGGCTGTATAACCAACAAAAGATGATGTCGTATTGGCCAGGAGCAAGGATACTATGTATTTTAACAATGTCAAGTACAATTGGATGGTCACGAAATTATTTTAATTGCTTGAGCACAGGTAACCTGGTTGATACAGTTCTGGATCCAGCCTCAGTTGATTTGAAAGTATTATATGTACTTCTTAACTGATTATACTCATGTTGATATGTAATTAATTTGCTCCTGATTCCACTAGTTTCATTCGATACCTTTTACCCATTGCCAAGGGGGAGAAGACAGCTGGGAAAAGGAAATATGTTATCAAATTTCAATATAAACAGCGGAAATATAAGGTTTAATTTTTGTTCCAAGAGATGGAATAAGAGATTACATTAAATATAAAGGTCGTCAAAAAGGGGATTAAACACATAGTTGAATGCTGTGTTGGACTCGTTTGGATCTAACTTTGTGAGGTACTGTAAAGAGAGTTTGATGCGGCGTTGTTTAAGAGACTGTTCGACTAACTCAACATACAGGCTGTCAACAGATTTACGGAAAGAACTTAGACATAGTCTTTGACCCTAATGATGCATTGGATCAAGTAATGTAAGGTTATCATCGTAAGCACCACAACAAATTAGCTATAATCGAGTTTAGAACGTATAAGTGATCTATACAAATAAAGGATGGTCGACCGATTACTCTCCACTTGGAATTAGAAACTTCTTTCAATAAATCCAGTCTCTTCAGGCATTTAGCTTTAAGATATTCGACATGTGGTAAGAAAGTAAGATAGTGATCAAAATGTTCCATTTAGAAAACTTAAACCTGTTACATTGTGACCAATCACTGATTAAAAATCAATTAATTCAGTCAAAGCTGCAACTGTATCTCAATCTTAGCATATTGCTACCTCAACATGAACCATTAAAATCATCGACGAGTCATTTATAACCTTTGATAGACTATTATGTTTTTTAATTCATTTTTTATACCAAACAACGTTACCGATAACATGCTACATGTACCATGTGGGGCACCTTGATCTTACAAATGGCATACGAAAATGGGTTTGATATTGTCTATATACCTCTTGGTAAAGCTGAAAATTAAAATAGACTAAATGTTTACCATAATCACGACAGCCGTAAAGGAGAATATGGTGCATGATGTCAACGTTGTCTATTTCCGGTTCTGTGGCAATCAGGTGGTAATCCTGTGATTGGTCCAGGTCAAAGGTCATGCAAACATAGGTGGTTTCCTTGCCAGGTACAGGTGTTCGTGGAATCTTCAGAGTTCGTTTTTGGACTCCTGCAAGGGTGAAGAGATTATGCAATTACAAATTACCTAAATTTTTATGCTCTCTCTCCCCCCACCCCCATTCTCTCTAATGTCGATGTTTCGAGTAACGGGGTTGAAGGAATGATCTACTATATTCTATTATCACGTACCTGTTTCTGTAGTTCCTGTACAGTTGAATTTAGAACTTGTACACGGAGCTGTGATGAGTCCAGCACACGTCTGACTTGAAGAGGTATCACAAAAACCTGAAATGAATCATCTTTCAATACATAACAGTCATTAAAAATTAACGATTTGATACGATCCTTCCAAATTATGAAGTGTATTAAGGGCGTTGGGGTAGCCTAGTTGTTAAAGTGTACGTTCGTGACCCCGAACATCAGGGTTCAATTCCCCACATGGATACAATGTGTGAAGCCCATTTCTAGTGATATTGCTGGAATATTGCTGAAAGCGGCGTAAAACTATACCCACTCACTCACTCACTATTTTGTCAGCACCAAACCCGTGCTCGTGGGTTTCACCGAAGTGGTAAACGTCTGAGGCCTGCATCACTTCGGGCTTTCCTCCCACATTAAGCTGACACGCCGTGATATAACTTGAATACTGTTAAAAGCGGCGTTAAATCCAACTCACTCACTCACTCACTATGAAGTATATATCAGATGACATACTTTCTTGAGGACTCCTTCAGTTCAGCAACAACATTCAATCCCAGCATGACCTGAACATGTATACACCCAGCAGTGAAGGGGCACCTTGAGATTGTCAAGGTAATCAACACCAGCACAGCATAGGCAAATAGGTCAACATGTGTCAGTGGTCTAGTACTTTTGAAACATCAACAACGTCTAGGGTCAGATGACCTAAAAATGTTCACAGACAGGTATAAAACTATCAGAAATGTGACGCTTTCAGATTCTCAACAGATTCAAGCCAGGCATAACCTCAAGACATACATAGATGGGAATAGAACTAACAGCGATGGGACACTTTCAGATCGTCTTCAGATACAAGCCTAGCGTGAACTAAAATATGCAGTGCCTTGTTCACAACGAGCAGTGATGGGACAATTTCCGATAATCATAACATTCAAGTAAAGCTTGACTCACACAACTACCAATGGTATTGCGAAAGAATACGTCCTCAGCATTGACCTTACAAAGTTAAAGTGAGTTTCATGTACCCTGCAGGTTAATGAAAAAGCAAACAAGGTTGCTGATGCGGAACATTCTATTCATAGCGACATCACACATGTGAAGTGAATATCAATCTCCCCGCTGGCAAAATATTAGCAATCGGTAGACCTAAGAGACGCGAGAATAAAAAGGTATGTCATACACTTGAACGAAATCTTATGTTAGTCGACCATACACGCACTGATTCACAGTCACATTCCCCGTTAAGATCCGGGTTAGAAGTGGTTTGGAGCCTACTACGCGTGTCGTAAGAGAGAGGAATATTGTTTTACGCCGCTTTCAGCAATATGTCAGTGATATCACGGCGGGGGACACCAGAAATTGGTTTCCCACATTGTAATCATAGGGAATTGAACCTGGGTCTTCGGCGTAACGAGCGAACGCTTTAACCACAAGGCTACAACAGCGTCCGCTTGTCGTAACGGGATCAGATGGCCTTAGTCAGGGTTGTTGACTTGGTTGAGGCATGTCATCGTATCTTAGATCGATGCTCATGGTGTCAAAACTCGATTATTTACAGACAGCTATCATATGGCTGGAATTTTGGTGGGTGTGGCGTTACGATAAAAGCAAAAAAAAACATATTCACGTGGGGATATATATACATATCGGAATATTGAAACTATGTTCTATGTTAAGGCGCCGCGATTCGCTGTGCAGAGTTGCGTCCCTTGGGCACGCCAGAAACCTATGATTGTTGGTTCGAATCCCGGTTCGCCCCGATTGTGTTTCTAGGTTTGTCAGCACCATACTCGTGCTCGTGGGTTTCACCTAAGTGGTAAACGTCTGAGACCTGCATCACTTCGGGCTTTCCTCCCACATTAAGCTGACACGCCGCGACTTAACTTTAATACTGTAAGAAGCAAAAGCAGCGTTAAACCCAACTCACTCACTCACTCACTCCCTCTATGCTTCTCACAAATGTCTCACGAGAAATAACCATGGATAAAGGATATAGTGAAGTTCGACACAGCGAAGAGGCAGCTACAAGACTATTCCTCGAGTCGTGGTACCTAATGCTATTCCTCATCTGATTCATACCAGCCAGTATTAGTCTTTTAAATATTTATCTGTTTGATACTTTTTAACAGCTCGCTGTACATAAATCTTATCCTGTCATTATCCCTTCTATTAAAGTTTACTCTTGCTATGATATAAACACATCTATTTCAAAATACCATTCCTTGACGTCACTGTGATATTGTTCAATTTTCTAGTGTTCAATTTTCTACATGTTTTTATATTATAAGGGTAATTAGAACGCTATTTTTCAGGGAATTATCATTTGCAGAAGCGCGAGGTCTTCCATTAACTGCCTGACGAAGGAGGGCAGTTGACAAGTACGACGGCATAATTAGCGTATGTCAGTATAACAAAATGGATGATCAGGTTCCAAGGATTTTGCAAAGGCAGGAGGGTTGCCGGAACAATGGGCGGTGACCAAAACAAACACACTGACGTAAGACAACTAACAACCATCAACAATGTTTATCGGGATAATGATACCGAATCGTGTTTTCAACCAACGGAGATGAATAAGTACATACAAAGAGAACCCTGGCTCCTATCAAGTTCCTTCGTAATATCTACCTGGGTGTGTATAATATATATTGTTATCGAACCAATGATCAGTTTAAATTAGGTAAACTGATAGCAGAATACCGAACTGTGTGTTAACCTATAGAGATGAATAAACACAAACAAAGAGAACCCTGGCTACTATCAAGTTCCATCGTAATATCTACCTGGGTGTGTAAAATATATATTGTTATCGAACCATCGATCAGTTTAAATTGGGTAAACTGTAAGCACCGAGCTGTGTTTTAACCTTCAGAGATGAATAAACACTAATAAAGAGAACCCAGACTCCTATCAAGTTCCATCGTTGTACCTACCTGGGTGCGTGAGTTCAGTTGTCCTTGCGGGTGTGGCTCCAGTTGTCCAGATGCACTGAGGGTCACCTAGCTCCTGACCATTGGTCATCCCATCACCATCAGAGTCCATGTTACACACATTAGCCCACTGTATAGACAGGAAAGTGTTTGATTTATTTTTAGCGGATATGTTGGCATGGAGGGCCTATTCGACGAAAATGCCGCAATTGCCTTAGGAGTAGCAGTATCCGATGGTCGTGAGTTTGGATCCTATATTCGCTCTGATTATGATCCTTGGTTTGTCACCACCATACTCGTGGGTTTCACTAAAGTGGTAAACACCATATACGTCCTTGTTCTCACGCTGTGATATAACTAAAATCTTGTTCAAAGCGGCGTTAAACCAAATTTGTTCACTCACGTTGACTGTTGACAGACTTTATTTTTCACGTGAAAACACGTAGATACCAACAGTGATTTCACACGGTTTATTAATAACAACAGACGGAGTATAGGTTTACAACACGATGCGATGTATATCGGATATCAAAAGTAGTCACGCTCTAGTTAACACTATACCGTACCACGAAGTCAACAACGTTTATTATTTCTTTTCTCACCGTTCTGCCTTGACTTGCAAAAGCGAGACCGAACTGATTTCTTTCACCTCCACCCGCCGGGTTCAGATGCCCCACCCCCTGCCACATCTCCCCCGCCACACAAGGGTGGGGCAGGTTGTAGCCATTAGGTATCCTGTCCCTGTACGAGCCATACCCAGAGATCACTCCAATGCATGTGAGGAAAGCGGCAAATCTGTAGGAAACGTACATACAAAGACAAAAACATGGAGGCTTTATTAACGCTTAAATTAAATTATTTACATATTAAATAGCTGAATTTATGGAATGAAATTAATTATTATTAAGGTCTTGCATTCTTCCAGCACATATCATTTGTATTGTTGTTCCGATACAAACTACCGCTAACAACGTATTTGGGAATAGCAACATACCGTACAACCCTCTATTGACACATGTAAATCATACTATCGTCTTTTTCGCACCTGAATGACATCACTGATTTTCAGTGATCCATTTATATGCTAATTTCACCACTGTTGCCTCAGAAACTGCGGCATTTAAACGAGGCTGGTTACTCTCTAGTGTCGACTTTAATATTTAAACGATAAGAACCTCGAATCGTGAACATGGTATCGCGACATATGATGCTTGTTCTTTGCAAAATTATAAAAAGTGGAAAGAGTCCGAACGGTCATTGTCGCCTACCTTACGGCCCACATGTTGATCCTAGTCAAGCTGTACCCGCAAGCTTTTGACAGGTTTGTGTGTCAGTCGGTTGGTTATAAAGCGCAGTCACGTGGTAGAGTATCAACACTGTACAACAATATATAGGAACAACTGGTTTAGTTTATGTTGTGAATATGATCACTACACCTAAACAAGTTGGATAAGCAAGTCAGAATCGAGAAATGTGTCGTCAAATTTGGCTTAGTAGTATTTGTTACAACAACGTGTTGAAAGGCAACGAAATATTTTTTCACAGTGTGAAGTGGACCATGGTTCAGTGCGCTGAATATCGTGTCTGAATAGGGATTTCTGAAGACTATGAAATCGCCTTCAACAAGACATAGATCCTCATAGCGGTTTCCTTTTGAGAGAAATTTAATAACATGAGACCGCAATTTTATGTACACCAACCATTCAAGTCTACGATGAATGCTTTCTCGTTGTGTTTGAAATTGACGTTGGGTTCAAGGTTTGGTCTAGGGTCTTTTATCATTTCATGAGTTGCAAAATCATCAATACATCTGGTCATGCGAGAAAATGGTGCGGCTTAGAAATTAATAAACAATATTGTTTGGCCCAAATCGCAAAACACAACAATGCAACGATGGAGGTTTCGTATGATTACGGAATTGGTTTCGTCACTTTTGCTTCAATGACAGTTCATGAAACCAAATAATTTAGTATATATGTAATAATATTCACTTTACTTAGGCCAATGTATTTATATGTGCCGAAGCAATTCAGTTACAAAATTAATAGTGGTATTGGCGACAATTATGGCATGTGCATTTAGGCTTTTTGTTTTTACATGACACTGAGTTTTCATGAATTTCCTTAGCATTATATGAAGCTTACGGTGAGGCGTCAAAGATACAGGATCCGTTCCATTAAAATCTCATAACTATGGGGACACACGATTATTGAGGGTCCATCCATCGTTTCGCAAACATTTCTGTATAGTTGTATTGCACGGGACATGTGTGTATCTGAACACCGAGAGTGATTATATACCGAGAGTGATTATAAACCGGAAGTACACACAGTATTTATATTCACCAAACGTATTTGCGATAAGTAGCTTTAATACAGTGTGGATTCTCAATAAATTTGCTTCAGTTTTTGTTATCACAGGAAAGAACATTGTTTGATTTTTCAACTCTGTATGCCACTATCCCACACGACATTCCTTTATTATTATTATGATTATTATTATTATTATTATTATTTACAGATTGAAATAAACAAAATGCAGCAAAGAGAGTTTGGGTGACCGGGCACATGGTTAGGCTCATAAGCTGAGGGTCCCTGCCCCCCCCCCTGCCCCCCCCCCTGCCCCTGCCCCCTGCCCCCCCCCCCCTACACGCAGCCCAGACAGCGAATGGGACTTCTCGAAGGAAGCGCTGCCAACCATCCACCCAGAACTTTTCGGAGAATGTGAAGACTTCCCAAAACTGCAGCCTTCTGCATTACCCAGTTGGTCAGAAGGGTTGTATTCCTGGAGTCAGTCAACAGATTGGGAGGTACCAAACCTAAGGCTCCGAGAACAATGGGGAGTCGGACAACATGGTACTTCGGATGCAAGCTATGTTTCCCTGAATCTTGTCAATCACATTGGTGTCAAGAGGGACAGAAAATTCTATAATATAAAGGACAAGTTTAGGTTTGTTGGATACGTCTGAGGCTGTATACGGGCCTATTCCAAAGATTTGTGTTTATCATTTTCCATGACGCCCTCTACATATTCTGTGTCGTACCGTGGATGGACCTCTGTGTCAAAACCACAAGCATGGCGAAGACGTCTGTTTCACTATTTAGGCCAAGACAATAACAAAAGGAAAGTCCAAATGTGCAGTTTCAAATATTTTGTGTGTGAGTATCTCAAGAATACCTTCTTTCCAAATAAGCACCGGGTGGTGGGGCAAGACGTAGCCCAGATGCATCGCTACAAACAATAGAGAAGTTGTTTATCAATCAAAGGTTTCATGTATTCACTTCCAACACCCTAATGGGGGCACGGGTGGCCCAGTCGTCTAAGGCGCCGCGATTCGTGTGCAGAGTTGCGTCCCTTGGGCACGCCAGAAACCTATGATTGTGGGTTCGAATCCCGGTTCGCCCCGATTATGTTTCCAGGTTTGTCAGCAGAATACCCGTGCTCGTGGGTTTCACCGAAGCGGTAACCGTCTGAGACCTGCATCTCTTCGGGCTTTCCTCCAACATTAAGCTGAAACGCCGCAATATAACTGGAACACTGTTAAAAGCGGCGTTAAACCGACCTCACTCACTCCAACATCCTGATGCCTATCAAAGCCTCCAATGATACACTTTAAGCCTTCATAGGAAAATATTTGGATTTAATTTGCTAATATACTATGCTTTAATATACTACGATAAGTAAAGTTCCTTTTACTTTTGAGTGCTAGTCATATACATAGCTGCTGTGACTTGCTGTGCTGTCTTTTTTTGGTAGCGCGGTGTACGCACCAAAAGTTAATAGATCCACATTGAATGTGCTCATCCATTGAAATATCACTAAATGAACTGAGGTGGTGTGACTCACGTCCTTTGCATAGTATATATCGTGTTGACAATGCATTTTTATAGCTTTGTCAAAATGACTTGCATGAGGTATCATGTGCCCTGTGAATTACGTCGGACAGGATTTTAAAGTAACCTGGCTTCATTATAATACCGTCAACTTCTTAATTCACCGGCACTTTAACAGTATTCCAGTTGTATCACGGCGTCTCAGCTCCATATGGTTGGGAGGTCCGCAGAGATGCAGGCCTCAGACGTTTAACACTTTGGTGAAAACCCCGAGTACGACCATGTTGCTGACTAACAAAGCATCGTAAACAGAGCGAATCGGATTCAAACGTTCGAACATTGTATGAGTCCAGCATGCACAAAGGGCACATCGCAGACCAGCAAAGTGCGGCGCCTTAGACGACTGGGTCACCCATGCCCCTTATATTTAAGTTAAACACCTTGCAACAGTGTAATGTATTTGGCATATTCTTTTTTGTGTCGTGTAACATAATACTAACAACACACATGACAAGGCAATTTCTGGTGAACAATCCCTACACTGTCACGCTAAATGATATATTGCGAGAAAAGTGGTTTTGAGTTACTAACATGAACACTGATTCAGCGGCCCTTTAAGTTTGTAAGTCAAGGCCATGAATATGTATATAGATAGTCTACTATAGAAGACCGCCTCCGTGGTTTAGTGGTAGAGCGTCCGCCCGAAGAGCGGCAGGTCCTGGGTTCGATCCCCGACTGATCCGAGGTGGTACTTGTTGTTACTCTGTCTGGCGCTCGGCGGTAAGGGGCAAAAACAAGGACTGGTATTCATGTTAAACTGCGGCATGGTATCTCAGGGGGCCACCACTATAAATAGGCATCAGTCCGGGCTAACACAAGCAGCCACACACACACACGTGCATGCACGTGGCTATATAAGTGCAATAATCTTGGACGCGACGTTAAACCCCGTTTCACCTCACCTAACGTACAATAGAAAACAAACTTTTGCTGTCATGTTCTGCAGTACAATTAAGAATAATCCTTGCTAGGTACTGGTGTTCGTGGAAACCTCAAAACCCGACTTTGGACTCGTGAAACAAGCAACGATATTTTTGTTTCACCATATCCCTGTCTTCGCAGGATTTCAAATGCTGATTTTATGTACTGAATGTATACCAGTTGTCGGACTTTCATTTTTGTGGAAGCCTCGGTGGCTGAGTGTGTTAGATCGCTGACTTTGTGTGCTGGCGATTGGGTGCCTCACTCTGGTAGTGTGGGTTCGAATCCCGCACGGGACTCAACCCCCCCAAAAGTACGAGAATCTGTTCTTTTCGAAGAGAGTGTTATCTCAAACATAACATTTGTTACATTCGACCACTTTCTAAATGTGTGTTCATAGCTGATTTTAGGCATTGACAAATTTACAAGGCATGTGATAGACAGTGGTGGCCATGAAGAATAGATAGAAAGTTGAGCAATAGACTGACTTTAGTACAATATTTCGAGGAATCGATACAGGACGAAGTTTTTGCAATAAAGCATCAGACATGAAGAAGCTTTATGAATTGAAGCCTTATGTGTGGACACCTTCATAACAAAACCTTCCACACCCGCAGAAGGGGGTGGGAAAACCTCGCGAAGATGTCAAAACATGGCTTATTGCTTCTATGTAAACAAAACCACCTTTCAAACGAAGAACCATCGAGAGGATGATGTTGCTGAAGGTAGTTGGGCGAGAGGCAGAATTTATGAGATACGAGGTAGGTATGAGATCCAAAACAACTGGGGCCTATTTTAATTACTTAAATGTATCGTGGATTTACATTAACCTTTTTAAACAATAACTTCGTGAAAATTGGGCAAACTATTGAATCTGTTTCCTTTCAATTATGCAACTAAGCTAATGTGAAGATTGATATTTTAGTTCGATTTATCTTTGTTATATGTTCTATTTGAACATGATATTGGTTGTCTGTGCCCAGTGGCTGCATTGGAAATACACTTGTCATAACTTAATCCTGACAGTGAAAGCCTATGGCAAAGACTGAAGAAAAAGTTTCAAGAAATTGGCATATGGTACGACAATATTTGTGTTGTTCATAATTCATTGGGGAAGATGATGAAGATGAAGATGATGAAGACGATTTCTGAACATGCATCACTGTGTTGGACAACAAGAGACGAGAGGCCTGATACATCAGGAATGTAAGTGGCCACAAATAAGAGACACCAATAAAACTATGAGATAAATGTGAATGAGGTGAAGAAACATGAACTGTGTTGAGTGTCAGGTATTAATGTCAAGGCATTAGTCCCACACAGTTCAGATTTAGTTCAAAGAGTGAAAATAAACGAGTTTTAACAGCTGTCTGTGAATGAACAAGGTTGAAATAAAGTTTTAAATATGTGTATCATTGCTGTTTGTCTTTCAACATGTGTTTACCTTGATCCATCTAAATTCTGAACTTGGTCTCAAGTCTGAAACAGGTAAGCATGCTACATATACATGTACTGTAAGAATGGTAAGGTAGGTTACTCATGGCTGCCTATTGGGTCCAGTGCCAAGCTATCAACAATATATAGGAGACAGCCCTTCGCAGTGAGGGTATTTCTCA